TAGTACAAAAATTGGTACTAAATTAGTACTTTTCTTTTTACAGTGTGAGATTTTTAAAGTTACTCGTTTTTTAACAAAATTTTCAAAATTCTTATTTTTCAAAATTTTTCTAAATCTCTTCTTTATAGTCTTCAGCTATTTATGAAGATCTAATGTTTAAATACACAAACATGTGGGCATATTTCTAGAACTTTTACACTTAAAGCTATCGCTTTATTTTGATACTTGAAAAATTATAAACATAAATCTGCAACACCATTATTGAACAAATTATTGTAATATTTAAATGTATCAGTTTTATGAATTTGCTGTTTCCTTGGAACCTTTCGAAAAAAATAGTCTAGGATTTAGAAATTAAGCTATTCAATTGTATTAGTGAATTATTTTAGACTTTTTTGTTGAAGTTTCAATATAAGTCATTTTAAATTTTTACGCACGTGGTGACTTTACTATTTAAATCAGTGTATTTGAACGTTTAACATTGCAACATTATGTGTATTTCAATTTATTTTTATTTAAATGGCACAAATTATTGAAAATTTTAGTTTTTGTCAAGCAGATAAAATTGTGTATTTCAATTGTATAAAACATCATTTGATTAAGTATTGCATTTTGACTGGAAAATTGACTATATCTACTAAAAAAATAATTGTACATTTTCTTATTATTAAAACCTTCTTTAATAAAAGAAATCGAACTCAAAAAATAAAACACTTACATAATACTTTTTATTAAACTCTCATACGGCACACAAAAAAATAAAAATGGTCTGTTTATTGAACCAGATCTACTCCATAACTCTATTTTTTTAGATCGAAAAAAACTACCCTTAAATGTACAAATTCAAAGTTTAAAGTAAAAAATGAAATAAAAGATTATTTTTCAAAGTCGAACAATATATTTATGTATCTTTCAACAACTCAGAAACAATGTTAAAATTGCTCCATCACCCATTGTTTTCTTAAAATCGAAAAAACCACCCTTAAATGTGCAAATCTAAACAGTAAAACAATGTATTTATGTACTTCTCTTTCAGCAACTCAAAAACAATGTTAGAATTGCTCCATCACATTCTGTTTTTTTTTTTAAATCGAAAAAACTACTCCTAAATGTATAAATTCAAAGTTTTAAGTAAAAAAATGAAATAACAGATTGTTTTTCAAAACTGGACAATAAATTCATATACTTCTCTTACAACTCAAAAACACCCCAATTTTTTGTTTAAATTAAAGAAAACTATCCTTAAGAGGATAAACTCAGTCATGACAGGAAAAAAAATAAAAAAAAGATTAAATTTTAAAACGGAAGTACACGTTTCTTTATTTTTATTTTAACAGCTCAAAAAAGCATCAGAATTGCTTCCTCGTCCTCCAATTATTTTATATAAAAAACTACCCTTTAGGGGCCGTTCAAAAAATACGTAACGCTTTAGGGGGGAGGGGGGGGGTCAAGCTGTTTGTTACGGTCAGCAGAAAAAATGGCGTTAATGTATACAACATTGCGTTACATGGGGGGAGGGGGGGGGTTCAAATTTCCGAAAAATAGCGTTACGTATTTTTTGAACGGCCCCTTAAAGGAAGAATGCAGAGTTTGCTAGAAAAAAAAAATTTTTTAAATTAATTTTTTAAACAGAACCACACGTTTCTGTATTTTTGTTCTCACAACTAGAAAGTAGGGACAGAATTAAATCACCTCCTTCAAATTTTTCTTAAATCAAAAAAACTACCCTCATATGGATAAACTCAGACAATAAGGGAAAACAAATTTTTAAATGCGTTTTTTAAGAGAACCATTAAAACCATTAATAACCATATATTTCTGTATCTTATATTTTGAAACGAACTAGTTGTTTGTTTTCCTTTTTTAAAAGTGAAGTTAAATTTTTTTTTAACTTTCGTTTGAAAAATATGAATTTTCACACTTTAAGGGTAGTTTTATAAAATTTTAACAAAAACTAGTGTTGACTTTTTCTTTCGGACGCTGATTTTGAGTTTTTAAAACAAAAATGCAGAAATGTATGCACCATTTAAAAAATGCTTTTTTCTAATTTTATTCCTGTTAAGGGTAGTTTTTTTTAATTTTAACAAAAACAAGGGGTGATGTTTTAATTCTGACATTGTTTTGAGTCGTTGGAGAAGAAATATATAAATTTATTGTTCTGTTTAAAAAAAAATCTATTATCTCATTTATTTTACTCTAAGTTTAGATTTGCACATTTAAGGGTCGTTTTTTCCATTTAAAAAAGAAAGGGTGATGTTGTAATTCTAACATTGTCACTGAATTGTTGTAAGAGAAGTGCAGAAATTTATTGTTCTCTTATGCAACACAATCTGTTATTTTATTTTTTACTTTAAACTTTGAATTTGTACATTTAAGGGTAGTTTTTTCGATTAAAAAACACAGAGCTATGGAGTAATACTGACTCTATATTCATAATTAAAAAAAAATTTTTTAATTGCATAATTACCTAAAACACTATAAGACATATGTAGATCTGGTTCAATAAACAGACCACTTTTTTGGTTGAATTTCCAAAAAATCAAATTATTCCTTTTTTTTACTTTTTTTTCATAAATGAGTTATTTGAAGATGTTTAAAGATAAAAATATAAGTTGCGCAAAATTAATTTCCAGAAATAAGACCTCCAGCAACATTTAACTATCATGTGTTCTAGAGGTTAAGTTTAATTAATTATAACTTTTAAATTAATTATTTTGAAAATAAACTAGGTAGGAATATTTTATTTTAAATAATAAATTGTTATGTTTTAATTTATTACACTTTTTACTTGTATATTTTATTCTTATTAAATGAATAATTTAATTTGAGGGTTGAATTTTTTAAAACAATTATTAAAAAATTAAAAACAAAAGAAAACGCCTATCAAATATAAAAAACCCTCACAGCACCGGGATATTCAGGATATCCCAGAGACGTCCTGGGGATATCGATTTGTTTTCGGAAGTTTGGATATCCCTGGATTATCCTCTGGATATCCATGGACGTCCCTAGGATATCCCAGAGATATCCAAACTTCCGAAAACAAATCGATATCCCCAGGACGTCTCTGGGATATCCTGAATATCCCGGTGCTGTGAGGGAAGGTTTCGGAGATAAATTGATAATTTAATGGAAAAATTCTCGTCTTTTCTTATTTTAAAAATATTAAAATTTTTATAAACAATATTTTTAGGCTTAATCATCAAATATTGTTACATAGATTACATATTATGTTTAAAACGTTAAAAAATATGATGTTATTATTAAATTTAGAAAACGAGGCTTTGTAGATGAATTGAATTTTTACTCTCATCGATAATACTATTTTAATTAATAATTTCAATAACTTTTTTTATCTTATTTTAAGCAAATATAAGAAAAAAAATAAAGGTTAGATTCTGAACTTTAATTTGATATATATATATTATAAATATGTTGAAATTATTTAATTACGCTAAAATAAAATTATAAAAAAAACATGCTGTTTAACCGTAAGTCGAAGACAAAATTAAATATGTTTTTTAACGAGGAAGAACTTTAAATATAAGCATCAGAAGATTATATAAAGATAGATAAATCTTCGTAAATTATAAATAAATGTTTCAAAAAATTTAAACTTGATAGAATATCAATAAAAAATTAATGTAAATAATGAACCTCAGGTTGGAGACACGTGAAGTGGTCCCTTTCAGGATAATCACCCAGGTATATAAATATTTTTAAAAAATAAAAAAATCTCAATTTTACTCTAACCGGTGGTCTTAGTTCAATTTATTATAAAGCGATCTGTTTACGAATTATCTGTAATAAAATATACTCTTTAAACGACCTGTTCCTGATTGCAACTAAATATGATCTTTAAAAACGTACGTTTAGTATTTTCTTTTGTTAACCCTTTCGTGCCCCCAGGAAACCCAGCCGGTGGATTTTATTGAAACTTGTTACTCGGGGGTTTTTGGGGTCGCTGATTACGAATCTAAAGACAGAATTTCAAAATTCAAAATGGCGGATCCAATATGGCAGAATTTTTTTAAAAAATTGTGTTTTGCATAACATTTGTTACTCGGGGGTTTCCGGGGTCGCTGATTACGAATCTAAAGACAGAATTTCAAAATTCAAAATGGCGGATCCAATATGGCAGAATTTTTTTAAAAAATTGTTTTTTGCATAACATTTGTTACTCGGGGGTTTCCGGGGTCGCTGATTACGAAACTGAAGTCAGATTTGCGAAATTCAAAATGGCAACCCTGAAAACCACCGAGTAACAAGTTTCAAGCGAATATGATATTATACCTATTGTTTATAATAATTATAATAGTACTATGTAATTTCCTATTTATTTATATTATATAGTAACGTTGGTGAATAAGAAAAGCTATATTTATTAATTGGTTTAAAACTATAAGAGTTTTATTAAATTTTGTAAGTGGTACATATGTATGTATCGGAGTCGCGAAAGGGTTAAACTTTTGTGTACTAATTAGAAAAATATTCTAAATTAAAAATTTATTATTTAATTTTGTTATTTTGGTATTGAAAATTGAGCATAAATAACCTATTTTAATATAGAATTGAGTTACGTTATCACATTTTCTAAGTGGTAGCAATGTTTTTAGTTGACATAAGGAATAGAATAATTTGCAAGAAATTCTACTGATTTGTGAGTAGTACAACATTTACTTCTCTGATGGAATAATAATATTCTTTCATGCTTATGTTCTTTTCAGTAAAAGTTAGTTTCTCAGGGTAGTTTCACGCTTGAAATGTTAGTACTTTTGTATTACTTCAAGAATAATGGCATCGATATTTTATAATAGAGAAATTCTTTCTAGACATTCCTGCTTCCTGGAAACAAGTTATAGTGTTATATTCTGTATATTCTGTGCGACTGGTACTCTTGTGATAGGATGAATAAAATTATAGGTAGTTATCTTTAGATTTAATGCGATCAATTTAAATTTGTGAGTAAGCAACTGAAACTTAAAAATTAAAAGACCCACCTGAATCAGATGGGTAAGGAACACGACGCAGGCGGCGGCCGCCCTCATGACTTCCCTCAGATATCCTTCAACTACCGCATCACCATTACTTAATGGTCCACTTAATCTACAAAAGGTAACACGGTTCAAAACCAGAAAATTTTTTATAACTTTCACAGATTCATTCGTTTCTACTTTTTTTGCAGCACTTTAAATAATTTCTTCAACTTGTGCACTAAAATTCACTTTTAAAATGATATCCAGATTGGAACAAGGAATCGCAGCCTCAACTTTTAAACACACTGATCTCTTTGATCTCGAACATTTTATTCGCAGCACAATCATAAGGAACGGAATTTATTCACAGGTCAATTTTAAATCTTTATCTAGGATAACTTTAAACTGTTAAATATACCCTTCGATCCGAAAATTGTTAATCCACATTGGTAAACATTGTATTCACTTCAGGTAGCACTTTTCTCTTATACATCCTTCGCTTTGTTAGGCATAACAAAGATAAAATGTAATTATGTGAAACAGACTTCTTTTCTCTATCCTCCACTGGATTCATTTACAATTTCCACTTTTTAAATTTAACCACTGATTTGAAATGGTGTTCTCATTAAAAAAAGAGTATATTGATGAATTGAACATTTTCTCAATGATTGCAGATTCTTGGGTTTTTAGAATTTTTAAGAATGTGACCAAGTAATTGTTTATCTCAACCAAGGTCTTTTCCAAAGTACACGTGATAAAAAATATAAGGATTCATCGAACACGTGCATGGTAAATTGTCAATTCCCACAATAAAAATCTAAAAATAGAATTTTAAGTTCACCGCATACTTATTTAACGGTGAGATTGTATGAATTATTTATTTATTTTTGCGACCGAGCATAACAATTAAGTTACTATTTAAACTTTTAATTTTGGAAATTTTAAAAATATGATAGTACTAAACACTTGACAATCAAGTTAGATTGATTATTCATTTATTTTAACACTAAAAAGCAAAATTTATTTTAATTGTTGTTGAAATTTTCTTCAAACGCATGTTTAACACTTTAAACAGGAAGGAATATTATCAATTATACATTATTTCTCAAATAGCTTCTGGGTAAGAAATCATAAACCGGTTTTCAATTATCCAGATTAGCTATAGTTCTCACACTCATTTACTAAGCAGTATTCAATAAAATATATATCTGTTAAAAGTTTGCACCTTGTGCCGTTATAAAATTAAGAGAGAAAACATATACGAAATAATACAAGACGGTCCGTTGCTTCAGGGATACTGAGTTAAGCCGCAGGCCGGCCTGCGGGCCTCCCCCCTCCAGGGCCTTCTGCTTTCTCCCCCCCTTGTAGGTTAGCATCACCCTTTTTTCCCTGTTTTTAAATCTATTCCGCCACCTTACGCTAGTGGCCCTTCATCACAGAGACATTATACTACGATGTATCCTTATAGTGATATTGGTATATTCAACTAATATACCTCATTCAAGTATGGAGGTTTATTAGTTTCTTGGAAGGCTATACACATTTGAGAAGAGTAGATATTTGCGGCTACATGACCGGTGTAGTGCTGCGGGCAATATGCTATCTTACCTTTCTACAAGCATAAGTATTACACTATATACAATATTGTGCCGCGGTTCATGGATAGATACTGCTTGATCTTATACTCGGTTTATTCAGGATTGACCAGTCAGCAAGGATACTCTGAGTCATCGTCGGCGTCAGGGCGGAGTCGAGGGCAAAGGTGAAGACCAAATCGTAATACGTTTATTGGTCTCGACAACAGTGATGGTAGAATTATGTGAAAGAAGAAGAATACTTCCAGTTGCTTTCGCTTTGATGACGTGCAATATAGATACACCAGTTATAAAATTTAAGTCATCACATTTTTTATTAAAAACAAATTCATATATATGATTTCAAATCATATCTATACATTAGGGTCTTAACAGACATCCAAAGGAAGTCCGCATAGGATTTTCAATGATAATATAATAATAAGATCAATTATTATTGACGGGAACGACGATTACACTCACAATCAGAAACAAGTTTATTCGAAACAACCAAACAAATGCATTGCTATACAGTCAACCAAATGTTTATTTAATTCAAATAAATTTTTTAATAGAATGTTTTTATTTGAATGAACCAAACACTTTATTGCACTCAAATAAATTTTTTAGTTTCTTTAACCAAATATTTTGTTCTATACAAACGTCGTCATTTAAGCAATAACTGCGTGTTAAAAACATAATCACTACACAACTGAAAACTTCACAAAAACTTAGTTTAGTAAAACAAATTTGTGTGTTGTGTCGAACAAATTGTATTTAACTCAACAATATTCTCTAGATTCAAAACACTAATTTGGTTAAATGAAACAAACAACTTCATATAAAAAATTTCTTTCGGATAACGTATTTAAAAAAATTTTAAATTTAAAAAAATTTTACGTATTTATTAAAATGAACCAAATTTTTATTTAAATCAACAACATTATGTTTTATCGTAACAAATAAAATAGGTTCATTAAACAGTTTGGTTAAGTGAAATAAACTTTTCCTCTGAGTGTATATATTACATAACGACTTCATAAATTAAATAACTTTTAAATCATACAGATCTAACTATTTTTTAAGGCTTTTTTGAAAATTTTCCAAATGGTCGAAGGTCTATAAAAATAAACACACCCAACATTATTCGTTTTTAATTTTTTCAATGAAAATTTATACACGGAAAAAAAAAGTACGTGAATTTTTCATTGACTCGGTACTTGACTTTTGGATACGACACAAAATACTAAAAACAGTCTAGTACTTTTGCATGAGAGTTTCAAAAGCAGTCAATGAAAATTTCTAGTACCTTGCTTGAGAATTTCATTGACTTTCAAAAAAACTGTAAAATAAAAAAAATAATTTCCACTTGTTCACACCGTTTTTCTGAAATTCACTCATTCATTCACATATTTGGATAATTAATCACACAAACAAAGAACAATTATTGTATCACTTTTCGACGTTCGTCAACACTTATGAACTAACCTATAACACACACATATATTCGCGTATAACTTAAATATAAACACACACTTAACACTTAAAAGTACGTATCGAATTGTTCTTATATACCACATGGTGACATTTTTCACGACTTCTGAGATATGCTATTTCACTGAAAACTGAGACTTACATAACATTCTGTTTTGTGAGAAACACAAAACAAAAAATATTTTTTTGAAAGTCAATTCTTGAAGACAAATATATATTAACACTATTTGTTTTTCATAAAATAATAGTATATTCACATCTGAAATTAACACAAATGGAAACAGACGATCAGCTGGCATTTACCTTGGGTAGAAACGCGCAACGCACACTGCGCATGCTCTACAGAATTTTCAAGCGCAGTCAACTAATCTTTCACGTACTTTATAAAACTGAACAAATGACTTTTCGTTAAAATTTAAAAAACACTGTTGCCCATACTAGTACTAAAATAACTCTAGGACTTTTCTATATTTTCTAATAAAAAGTATATGATACAGCCTTGTACTTTGTGTTCTATCCAAAAGTCAAGCACTTTCAAGGAAGGATTCACGTACTTTTTTTTTCCGTGTACAATTTTAAAATTAAAATAAACCATATCAAGGAAAATTAAATTTGTTAGAAAAAAAGAGCCCTCATTTTATTTATTTCGTGCATTTTAATGTAAATAGCAGCATTTTAAAAAATAATTATTTTCTATTAGAAATTTCGGGTTGTCCATTTCGAGTAGAATGTTCCACATTCTACTGTTTTAATTAAAAAAGAATTTGTCCTATGGTCAGTCCATTATACTTCACCTAAAGTCCTTGCGGCCTATTTTTAGAAAAATCTCCTAATTTGTAAAAATTATGATTAATATCTATATAGAATTAATCTTTGAGAATCATTATCAAAAATTTTTTTGATACAACTACACAGGAAAAAAAAAGTCTGACTCCGTTTACACCTTAAATTCAGCCCATGTATTTCACATAAGTCTGTCCTTGTTTAATGGGACTGACTCCGTTTACACCTTAAATTCAGCCTCGAAAACAGGCTAAAAGTAAAACTTTTTTTTTAGTGTGTATCTTGACTGATATTTGTTAAAAATTAGCTAGTTCACTTGTATAAATACATTATTATGTAAACATACCCAAAATTATAAGTAAAAATTGATTTTAAAACTTACCTATGAAATGTCAAAAGTCACTACATTTTATTTACATTTATTTAAAAAATTTATTACTATTTACTGTAAAGTAGTTTCAATGTACTTTCATATTTTGTGCTAACTTTTTAATTTTATAATATATATTTATATAAGATTAAATAGTCAGCACATAATATGAAAGTATATTGAAACTACTTTACAGTAAGTAGTAATACATTTTTTAATATTTATAAACTTTTTAGATAAATGTATAAATAAAATGTAGTGACTTTTGACATTTTATAGGTAAGTTTTAAAATCAATTTTTATCTATAATTTTGGGTATGTTTACATAATAATGTATTTATACAAGTAAATTATCTAATTTTTAAAAAATGTCAATCAAGAAAGTTGTATCAAAAAATTTTTGATAATAATTCTCAAAAATGAATTCTTAAGATTTTAAACATCATTTTTACAAATTATGAGATTTAAAAATACGCCGCAACACCTTTAGGTGAAGTATAATGAACTGATCCCTTGGGACAAATTCTTTTTTAAGTGAACAGCAGAATGTGGGGAATTCTAGGGAAAATACTTATTTTTTTAAAATACTGATATTTAACATTAAAATGCATAAAATAAAAAAAATGAGTGCTCTTTTTTATAGTACCTAAATTTAATTTTCTTTGGTTATGTTAATTTTAAAATTGTATAAATTTTCAATGAAAAAATTAGAAACATAAGCTTTGTGTTTTTTTTAATGTGTTTACCTTCGACCATTTAGAAAATTTTCGAAAATGTCTTAGGGGGGGGGGGTTAAGGTTTTAACCCACTGATCAGGTTGGCTAAACTTTTTTCTGCAAGAATATTTACTTCAATTGATGTAATTAATTTAATTAATATTTTTTAAAAATTCTATTTTATTTTGATGGTAAAAATAGGTAGTTCAATTTTAATAAAATATATTTCATATTTTCGGATAATTTTTTTATAAACAATTTAAAATCATAATATTTTGTTGTTGTAATTCTAAGTGTTTTGTATGCAATGTATATTAATAATGTGAAGCGAAATGTAGGTTTAAATAATAATAATAATAATTTATTAATTATAGTAATAGTAATAAATTAATTAAAAATTTGGTTTGTTAAAATTAGTAAAAAAAAGTTGAATAAATTCAAGAAGTATTTTTTTGAAAGTAAATTTCAAGAAGAATAATTACAGAATAATTATTTGTAATATTTAAACAAATAAATAAATTATTAACTATTTATTAATTAATAATTAACAATTAATTTGGATTTTTATTTATAATAGGTTTTAGTAGTTTTTCTATTAATAGTAGGTTTAATTTTTGTAGTTTTAATTTTCATAGTAGGTAAGTTTAAAATTAATAAATATTTAAACTAATATTTAAAAAAAACATTTTTCTGTTATTAAAATGCATAAGTAATTTAGTATTTTTAATATTTTTTTTAATATCTAATTTATCATTAATAATATTAATAATAATAAAAATAACATAATTATACAATTAATTTATTATCAATGTTCATATTTATAGAAAAGTAAAATTTTAATTAATTTATTTTTGTAAATACTATTGTTAATAATTAAAACAACAGACTATTATAACCAATTATTATAATGAAGATATTATATTATTATAATAATAATTTATAATTATATTATACTAGCAAAATCCTACGCACGCGATGCGGGTGTGAATGATTTAAAGAATTATCACGGTAGCAATCTGCCTACCTATGCCTTCCATAGAAAAAGTTTAGTAAATTTAATTTATATTGTTCCATGTTTATAATAGTTATGATTTTTTCAAAAAATTTCGTTATTTCAACTAAATTATCATTTTCACGCCTCAGAAGCAATTTTTTTCATTTGATAATTGTTTATTTTAATGTTAGAACCCATTTTTAAAAAATTGCAGGAGGATCCAAGGCAGTGATTTTTATTTTTTGTCACGGATTTTTCAGAAATCCTAGAATATAAAATAAATCATTATTGAAAAAATAAAAATCACTACTTTCCCCGCCTTGAGGTGCATAATTATTGCCCAAATGTCATTTGACCGAACTGTCATTTTACCGAATTGCATTTATCCGAACTGTT